TAAGTAAGGGGTGTCCAGCACTGTTTCTGCTTCCAAAAATAATTTTGAGAGTGTTGTTAATGTCATAAGCTGTATATATTCCCTTCATCTGCTTTGTTATCAAGAAGGTGACGATGGCAAGTGTAAGAAATCCGTATTTAGTTTTCAATCCGGAACCTTTCGTGATGACATCTTCCGAGGTCAAGACCGAGACGGGAGAATGTTATTAAAATTGTTGTAAGGATTTCTAACTGTAACAATCAATAAGTTTAGACTCTCCTCAGTGTTGCACGTTTAAAAATATGTTGTGCTGCTGTTCATAAAATCAGGTTACAAATATTAATGATAAACCGTGCACGAGCAAAACCGTACTTTATCGATGAAGCAGTCGATTATTGCGAGAATAGTACCGGGAATGGCTACCAGATGGAACTACTTCTGCCAGGCAGCTGAACGCGAGACCTTAGCCTCGCTCATCTAAGATTGACATGAGACAACATGAGCCGGTTATTAAGGCTTTGACCGGGATGTTCTTTTGTTAAATCTTATGTGGTACCGCCTGATTCGACTTCTAATGGTTAAGTGAAGTGTTTTCTTCGCGGTACGGTCTGGATTCGTAAATATTATGAAGACGAGCTTCGGCTTCAAAGGGTTAACCAGCTGATTTTCGTAATGGTGAGGTGTAGTGTTTTCTTCGCGGTACGGACTGAATTCATAAATAATATTCAGACGATCTTCGGCTTCAAAGGGTTAAAGCGATATTAACGCAGTCCACATCCGTTGATCGTATTCGCTGCCCTAGTAAAGGGAGAATATGAAACAAAACTCAGTTTGTTGCTGTTATATCACGTCTTAGATATTTTCTTTTCTTTTATGTTCTTATGAATTGTTTTGTAACGAAACATAGCATTTGTTTGTTTAAATTGAGTTCCCTATTCGGTTTGAAAAATGTTCTGACTTTTACAACTCAAAATGGAGTCCTGATCTTCTGCAATTTCGGGGAATGTCTTTTCCATTAGATCTGGAACGAGGGGAAATGGTTTTTTTACGTAAAATAAGTCAGGGGGACAGGAGAAGGAATTTGATGGACACATCCCAGAATTTAAAGAATCATTT